GATGGCAGGCCTGAAACCAGAAGCAGGGGTTGGGTTTTGGCATGCCTACGGCAGCGCCAGTTGTGCATTCCCTGTTTTCTCTTGTCTGAGAAGTCACTGAAGCAGGTTACACAAATATCTTCCAGTAGCAATTTTCCTAGTAAAAGAGCTGACAGCAAACTGGGCAGAATATTGGTGCACGTGATTTTAAATGCCTTTAAAAGAATTTAAATATTGAAACTGAGGTATGTTAGCAGTCTGAAATTTGCACCACTGTTTCTTGCACAAGAATGAGAGAAAGATGGAAGGGCTGTTTTTAAATGGCACTGCAGAAACGCCAATTGAAATGAGCTCGTTGTGGTTAGCGTAGTACCCTCTGCTAATTCTCCTACACCAGCAGATACACTGATCGCATTTTAAGCATTAAGAGCTGGCAATTCTTCAGCTGAGCTAAATCAAACTGGATACATTTGATCTACTCTAAGTTTTCAGTGTTTAAGTGGGTGGTAGTTGGCCAAGCAACTTGAGAAGTGAGAAATTTGGTTCAGCTGTTCTGACCAACTATTATTTCCAGGGCTTTTAATTTGTTTCGTATGTAAAACTTTAGACCAAAATTTACATCAAAAGGTAAAGGTTTTAGCAAAGTATTGGTGGTTTCCTTCATAAAGAGTTTGCCAGTGTTACAGGAACTCTGAGGCTTTTTTATAACACAGGAGACAGTTTTTGCAGTTCTTGTACTTGAATTAAAAGATAATCTAACAAGGAATTGTAGCTGTATCTTACACCATCAGGAAGACACTGATCCATGAAAAAACATTGTCTAGTAAGTGGGCTACTTTCATTAAAAGGAAACTGAGTAATTTAATGTAATTTTAAGGGCAAATATAAACATTGCAGACAGTCTGAAATTGCTGATGGGTTTTGAAGGACAGCATGGAGAGTAAATCATAGAGTAAGGGAGATTATAAAAAGACACCTTGTCTCCGCACTATCTTGCATTTTACACTTTTTTTTTCCCTCAAGTGTATGTTTTGCCACCTGTGCCAAATATTTAGTTTTTCTGCCTTGTTAAAGAGGGCAGCTCAGATGGGCACATGGCCTGGGGGAAGCTCTGTTCTGGAGAAAACATTCTTTGCATCTGCAATGTTATGTCCCGAGAGCTTTTTGTGCAGAGATGTTAGATCTGAGCCCATACTCCGTTTCTCCGCCCCTGGCAGGAGGGAAGTCCGGGTGCTTTGGCCTCCTCTGCGCCTGCGGAAGGTGCACCCTGTGTTCTGGCAGAGGGATGCTGTAGCGAAGCTGTAGGTTGTGAGCATGGTCCAGGCATTTTCTTACAAAGTTTTCAAAGTGGCTGAACTACCTCGAAAGGTGTTCACAAAAGGCCTTGACTTTTTTTAATATTAGAGCCTACACTCTTCAGCTTTCTGCTTCACTTCATCTGTCACTAACGCAACTGAATCCTGCTAACTGCTTCTACTTTGGTGTGGGGCCTGAAAGGGTGAAGGGAGCATGGAAACCCATCCTTTGCCAGTGGGGCAAAAGCTTTGTCTTCTGTTCCTGGGTAGTTTAGGATGCAGAGAGCGATTCAATGCATGTGGTGTATTTGTAGACAAGCTGTCCAATGTGTCTGATACAGACAGAGCTGTTACAAGGGGATGTTCAATTGTAAACGAGAGGAATTAATGTGGTTTGCTTAAAACAGCTTTGCAGTCCAGGCCTTGGCAGGCATTAACTTTCAACGTTAATAGGCTGACATATTGCACTTTTCATTTTGATTTGTCCCAGCATTTTCCTTTATGGTCCATCATTAGATATTGATCAGTTGAAGCTCATTTTGAGACTCGTTGGAACCCCAGGGCCTGAGCTTTTGAAGAAAATCTCCTCAGAGTCTGTGAGTTTACACTTTGATTGTAATTATCTGCCCTTTTGGAAGTCCCAAGTTTGTGTGTTGCCCTCCTATAGTCTACCTATAGTATGTGTTGGGATTTATTTTCTGTTATTTTTCTTCTTTTGTCATTCTTTGCTCTTGGATGGCTTTGAGTTCTTATGCTCTGTCTATCTGATCTTTATTCTCTTATCTCTGCCTGTGGTATGATTTCTTCCTTCCGTATCCTCATTTTACTGCTTCGTGACTTTTCTTTCAGTTTGTGGGTTTATATTTTGTGATATGTTGCATGATCAGATGCTGCTGGGGAAGTATTTTTCACAGCTAAGAGCTTGAGGTTCATTTCAATTATTATTTCTCCAGATTGCCTACCCAAGAATCTTTCTTAACAGGAGCAAGTGTGTTATCCTCTGAACACACGCAGTCCCTTCCGTAGTATGATTAATTTTTGAAACACTACTGCCATGATCTTTGTTTTTGTAGCATAAAATCCAAAATGCCTTTTAAGTGCTTTTAGGTGGCAGAAAAGCAAAAAAGCTTTCCGCAGTCTCCTTTTATAAAGGGTGACCTCTATTTTCAGCCATACTGCCATTTCTATATTGTTCTAATCCTGAATTGTGAACTTCTACAAAGCCAGTATTAAATGGCATTTAATTTTACCTGTTTCTGAAGGTGAAGTGCATAAAAGTTAGAGCGAGAGATGCCGTAGCAGTAAACAAGTTAATGGATAGTGAGTAATGAGCTTGCGTAGAGGGAACTAGCAGCATACTTTAGCAAGTAGCTCTGCTGTTTCTGGTACGTTAGAGAGGATCAGCGCGGTGGAGAGCAGTAAGATTATTTTTTACTGCAGCTTATGTTCTTTTTGATGTAACAGTGACGGTACATTAGTCTTGAATGACGCTTGACGAAGGTAGAGATGCAGTGCAAGCTGGAATCAATTGGTAAATTTGCTGAATATCACACCCATTTGAAAAGCACTGGGCTGTTCCACCCTCAGCAAGGTCAGAACTGAAGAACGCAGGTTGCTTTGGGTGCCCTGTGAACTGACCTGAAGGGTAGTCTAGTATTTGAAGTGCAAGGGATTAGCGAGAGAGATAAGCTTAAAGGTGGACTAGGTTCAGCAAAAGATTAGATGCATGCGTAAGACTGAAGTGGGTCTTTTTTTTTTAACATTGCACAATAAAGAGAATAATTTTACTTAGGTTCAAATGAAGTCTGTTTAAAAAAAAAAACCCCAACAGTACTGTTTCTAGTGTTTTTTCCATTGTACAGAGATAACAAAACTATTGAGTGTTTGAGGGCCTTTAGTGTGTCACTGCCACAAATTCTGTATTTGTTTTTCTGCTGCGTTACTTTACTTGCTCTTACTTTGTCTGTTCACTGCCATCAGCTAACTCTGTCTTATGCAATGCTAATGTTTTGCTAATTTTGCATTTATTGCCTTTGTCACCTCGCCCACGTATCAAAGTGCATTCAAAGCTGTTTAGAAGGAGGTGTTAGCTGTGAGCCAATTTCACTTTACACCACAAGGAACTTCATTACTTTCTATGCAGCAAGAAAAAAAAGCTGGTAACCAGTGCAGAGGATACCATTTTGGTTTCTGTTTTAATTTTTGTTCCTTTTCCTGAGGCTGTATGTAGCTGCAGCAGCCTAGGAAGACTTCTGTGGAGTAGCTTCAGCCAAAGGAAACGTCTACTCTGGTGGTTAAAAACTGTTGGGACGTGTGAATGCAACCGTGTTGTAGTGTAATGCTGCTTATGGTGAACAGAAATACTTCCTGTACTGACGCTGTTACCAACCGCTCAGTAATTCTCCGTTGTTTTAATTGTTCACTAGTGCAATTACTAAACTTTTCACAAGTATTTGAAAAAAATATTAGTGGACCCTGCCTGTTTGGCTTTTGCCTTGTGGTTTGCAGAAGAGATGCTTTGTATGCAGCTGTTTTCTGTTTCAAATGGTTTTTGCACTGTTTTTAACAAAGCCCTTGACTAGGCACTTAAGATATTAACCAGCTTCAGCAGATCATGCGTCTGACGGGAACACCCCCTGCATATCTCATTAACAGGATGCCCAGCCACGAGGTGAGACCTGAGCAGATGAGGGGGGTTCGCAGGGCAGGACTTCCCTTGCAGCGTTCGCTGCTTCTCTAAATGTGGCTCGCATGTGGCATGGGGTGGGCGATTAACTACCTGCTCTTCAGCGAGTCTCTTGTACTAAATGAAGACTTGAGATTTGGCCAGTGTGTACTCAACCACAGACTGCTGCGACTCGGGAGAGCCCGGGTGTGAGTTGGTTTTGCGTTGTGTGCCACACTGTGCAGCTGACCGCCAGCCACCGTACTGCACGCGGCCTCCCCGGGGCTCCGAGGCAGTTGGCTCTTGCAGCACCTCTTTGGTTTTCAGTCTTGCATGAACCCCAAGTAATGTCAGCTCTTCCCCCGATGTCTTGAGTGGCCTTTAGTTGGGAAGGGATAATGCTGATGGGCTTAGTAAGCATCAGAATAAGTAAAGAGAAGACAAAGCGAGGAGACAGATCATAGTAACTGGTGCTTCAGGATGATTGAAATGTACTTTGTCTTGGTGGCTGGGTGGTGTTATACTTTAACAGAGCATTTCTTTCCACAGGCGAGAAACTACATTCAGTCTTTGTCTTATATGCCGAAAATGAACTTTGAAAATGTGTTTATTGGTGCCAATCCACTAGGTAAGACTTGCTTTTTAAATGTTGTGCCCTTCCTGAAGCCAAAGCTAGTGTTTCCTGGCCCACCAAGACTCAACAAAGTTCTGTTTTGACTGCAGAAGTAGTTCAGAACAGAGCTATGTACGCTTCTCAAAGTTTACAAAGTATGTGTGGGCTGTCAGAAATAAGAGAAAGAAATTGTGGATAATGGGGTGGGTCCTGAGAAATTACAGATTTTTCATATACATTGGGCTTTTACGAGCTTACGTTTCAGAGTACAGTATCACGCAGTTCACTATGTAAAATCCTTTATTTTCTGTTTCGGTGCTTTTGCAGCTGTCGACTTGCTAGAGAAGATGTTGGTACTGGATACAGACAAACGGATTACTGCAGCAGAAGCGCTGGCTCATGCCTACTTCGCTCAGTATCACGACCCAGACGATGAACCAGTGGCAGATCCCTATGACCAGTCTTTTGAAAGCAGAGAACTTGAGATTGAAGAATGGAAAAGTGAGTTTGGGGGACAGGAGGGAGAGCCAGCCTGCTTCCCGTGTGCTCCATTCCGCAGGCTGCGGGTCGGCTGAGCCGTGGTGGTTAAGAAGCACAAAAGAAACAGATAAAAATGTGGGCGTCCCATTCGTTCTGAGGCCCTTATACTGAGGGAATCTGCCATGTGCTGTGCACATAATTAGCATAATCCCTGGTAATTAATTATTACTATGAGCATGCAAACACATAGGCGACGTAGTTGCTATGTCTTTGTTTTCAAACTTATTCACATCTTCTCAACACTCTGGAAATATATTTTATTGTGTACGCTGGTCTCTGAGAATGGTGTAACCATTCTTAATTAAACCATGTTTTTTGTTTAAAATAGTGTTAGAACCTCTAAGATCACTGCAGGTTTTCTTGCACAAGGGATGTCTTTAGTACTGCCTGTTAAGTTTCTGTCACGCTTTTCCCACCAGGCCTGACTTACGATGAAGTAATCAGCTTTGTGCCACCACCGCTTGACCAAGAGGAGATGGAGTCCTGAGAAACTGCTCTCTCCTGTTTGTCCCACTTCACTGTGAGGGGAAGGCCTTTTCATAGGGACTCTCCAATTATCGTTCAAGTGCCTCGTCACAACAATATTCTCCTTGGTGGAAGGGTTTTGTGTGTGTTGAACTGGGGAGGGTGGGGGGAGGGAAGAAAGCTGAGTCTATGTAAACATGCTGCATGCTCGCTTGTATTCTGTGTCCAGCCTGGGGCAAGCTCTCAGACCCATTCCGACTGCTCCTTAGTCCTTCCAGAGTAACAGTGCTTGACCAGCTGGCACTGCTGGGGCAAGGTGGGGAACTTGACATTTAAAGTTTGGTTACAATCGTTGCCATTTATCAATTCTTCTACAATTAAGTAACCTCAAAAAGAATGGCAGTTGTTTTGTAGGCTTAGAGAGTCCTCTGTTTTCTTTGGGACTGAAGGTGGGTTTGAGGGATGTCCTTGCTCAGTGCCAGATGCACATCCAGATCTTCCTGGTATAGCAGAACGTGCAGGCCTTCTAATGTGTGATTCTTGGAAGGTGAAGAGATTTTGTGTGAAACTGTAAATATGTTTGTGCCTTAAATGAATGGGGAAAGAGGCGAGAGGAAGTCTGGGGTGGAAATCTCTGACCCGCTGTTTTTTAGGGTGAAGGCTCCCAGATAGCCAGGCATGAACTCGATGTAATCAGGAAATAACCTTCAGAGGCAACAGCCTCTACCCCTGCGTTGGGTATTCCTGTATTTTTCCCTCTTCCCCTCCTCTCGTTCTGAGGCTTCCCAGCATTAGCTCCCAGGAGACAGAGGCTGGAGAAGATTCTTGCTAGCCACATGTTTGTGTATTTTGTTCCTTAAAAGGTGGGGTGTTTTTGCATGTTGTAGCTCTGTGTGCATGTAGAGCTGCTTGATTTTTGTCGTTACTTATTTGGGGATGGCGCTGGGGCAGTTAAATCATCAGTGAACTATTTTACTGAGTACCTCAGCCAGTGCCATGAAATCACAGCATCCTTCCTCTTGTGCCGCAGCTCATTGTGAAATACATGCCGTTCTGGAGGCTTTGACAAGGAAAGGATAAAATCTACAGTTAGAAATGTGCACCTTTTAATTTGTTCTGACCTTCTGGTTTCAGAGAAGGAGAGCTTGGGATGGAGGGTTTCTTGTGAGATCAAATGAAAAAAAAAAAAAAGTTCTTCAAAGAAACAACTACGGCATCTTGTGCCAGAACTTAAGTTATTTCCTGAAAATATTTTTTTTTTAAGTATTGGAATCCAAAGCAAAGAAATAAGCATGCATAAAACCACAATCTCCCTTTCACTGTCTATATCTATAAATATAAATATTTATATATAGAAAAAAACTAACATTTACTAGAGGTTTTTTTTTTTACCTTCCCAGATAGGAGTTTCTTGGCTGGTTTTTAGCAGGTTGATCTCTGCCTGAGGAACCATGAAAAGGGAGTATGTTTGAATGCAAACATGGTTCAGGTATTTTGTGTTTTTACAGGACTCCGTGTGAGTGAAATGCCCAGAGTTAGAGACCGGCAGGAGGGAGGTTTCTCAGCATGTTTATGTGCTAGAGCTGTACCTGGGGAGCTCAGGAGCCCGATTTTAGGATTTGTGGAAGAGATGTTTTTAGACATTTATTTGTTGCAGGCATCCTGTGTGGACAACGTACCCGTGTATGTGAGGAGAAAGGCTTTTGCAGTGTTTTGTATTCTTGTTACCTGTGGGAGGGAGAGGAACTGTTTGTAGTGGTTTATTCCCCGTGTTTGAAGAGGCAGCACAAAGGGATGGGACGCGGATGACAAAGCCATTGATTCTTCCTAGGCTACTTTCCAGTGATCTCTGCAGGTCAAACACTTCATAAAGGTCTGGGGTGAGATGAAGAGAGCAGTTATTTCATGCTCTGGCATAAAACTCTCCTCGGCACAACAAAATCAAGACAGAAAACCTCCCTTTTCTGCTGGACCAGCAGTCCAGGTATTCAATTGAAAATGTAGATATACTGTGTAAACCTACGGCAAGATTATTTTTATCAGCCAGTTTATGTGTAGATGCTACAGTGTGATTTCATGCGGAAATATTGCTAAAGATTTTTAAGAATATAGACGTTGTGTGTGGAGGTGTGTGTGTGTCTGTGCGTGTGTGTGAGTGGGAATGTTTCATTCGGAGTCCGTGCTCTGTCGGGAGCCCGCGGGGCTTGCACGCCCTGCCTTCGGTGCAGCGCTGTTCAGCCCTGCCCGCAGACTGAGCAGGAGGACGCGCTTCCAAGAAGAGATCTGCTCTTTTGTTTCTATCCATGAATTTTGCTGTAATTGGTTATGCCAGATAAGATGTCACAATACCACTGGTTAAAAATAAAACCTATTTTTCAGATTTACTGCGCTGATGGTACTTACAAACCTCTTGCACTAAGCGGGTGGTTTTAGCACGGTGCGAATTTCTCCCCCACGTTCTGTGGGATCCTGGGAGTGACGGCTGGGGGTGGGGGGCCAAGCCCGTGTGACTTGTTGACTGACCATCTGCTGACACTGGCTTGTGTCCATGTGTGTCCCAAGTGAATTCCTTGCCACTAAACTAGCTTAGACTCTGACCCTGAGTGCTAGACACAGGAAAAAATACTTTTATTTTCTGTTTAGTATAGGGAAGTGCTTGTTCAACACAACAGACCAGCGTTCTGCTGCTTGCCCGGACCTGGGGCCCTTCCCCAGTAGTACTGGTTTGTGTTTGTTTGCTACTTCAAAGTGATTTTTTTTCCTCTTCAGCTGCCAGCTAGTTGGTGGTGGGTGTTAATGGGAGCAGGAGCATCAGTGGAGATTTTCCGACTTCTGTTGTGTATCGGTGCCATTCACTCGGAAGAATGATTGAGCAGAGCTGTGTTCTTCGCACTAACTAAAGCCTTAGGAACTCGAGTTCCCCGGCCTTGATACACTGAGGTGGTTCGTGTTGACCCAGGTCAGGCAGTCAGTACCCACAGCGTGGATGCTCCCCTGTCAGAGCTGCGCAGCAGCTGGTTTGAGTAAATAGAAGGAGAAGCGTGGGGTTGTCTCAGCTCTGTGGAAGCTGCCTTCCTGCTTGCCTTGGGACAAAATGAGAGGAGCAGGGAAAAGCCTAAGCAGGACCTCTCATTTATTGTTTTCTAGGAGGAAAAAAAAAAAAAAAATCCAAAACACGCAAGGTATAAAATTCCAGAATGTGCTCAGTTACAATATATCCTGGTTAGTGAGAAAAAAAAAAAAAAAAAAAAAAAAAACACCCCTAAAATCAGCAAGAATTGAATCGGGGGAAAAAAAAAAACAAACTACACCTACAAAATCAAATTACTTAAGGTTTCCTATTCGATTTGAATCAGTCACTTGAATTAATTCATCTTTCCCCAGCCAAGACATGTCCTATTTAGAACTCCTTAATTGCACGCCGCTTACCTGCGTGTGCACGCGTAGTTGAGCAAGAGTTGTTCTCATAAAATGACAAATGAGTTACATGTTTGCTTATGTACCAGGAGTTTCTGCTGTGACACCTCTTGCTCACAGGTGTATTTATAGAACCAAGCCAACAGTCAGTTTATTTCCTGACTGTGCCGCTGCTGTTGCCAGGGCTTATTTACACACATACGCATTAGCAAGGTTAAAAAAATTGCCATAGCACCTCATCCCTAGTTTGTGTTTTCTAGAACAGCAGACCTCACCACGGCTATTTGAAGAATGTAGGCGCCAACGTCAATATATACGGAAGCAGTTGCCTGTCAGCAGGTAAAATGAATCTTCCCTAAAACCCCGATGGTGTGTTTTTCAATAATTCCAATTTATCAGGTAACTTGGCTCCAATCCCGCTGCACAGCCGTGCTCCGAGCAGGGACAACGTTGCGGGTGACACGTCTGGAGGGAGTGGAGGCAGCGGGGCAGGGTTCAGGCTGGTGGGGCTGGAGCAGTGTAAGCGGCTGGGCTGGCTCGGTAAGGTGCAGCTTAGTCACTTCCTTTGGGAAGTACATAGGATGCACATAGCCCCTCTGTGGGAGCCCCACCTGAGCCTCCTCAACGTGGAGCAAAATGTCGAGATGTTCTCTGCTCACCAGGCGTGGACCTCCTCGCAGGCTGGGTTTGCTGCTCCGGCGCGGCACCGGTAGGCGCAGCAGCCAACTTGGGCTTTGTGCTGTCCAAGAAGACCCGAGAAGGGGTTGGACCTGCTGCAAGAAATTAAACCAGACTCAGCAAAGCCTTGGGCACAAGCTGTTCTCAGGATGGTCCCGGATCACACCTGCTGCTCCACATCCTTGCTGCAGTCACCTGGATGAAGGTGGAGAACCTCAGCCTGCTTTCACCCCATCCCCGTTCTGCTGGGAAACCAGGCGTGGGAGAAAATCGCCGTCGCTTCCTCGCTCGTCCGTGGATTTCACACCGTGGTGTCCTTCGTCACGAGCCTGGAGCTGTCCTCCATCAGCTGGAAAGAAGAATGTCCCTGCTGGTCTGACGAGGCGCTGTGGCTTGTCCCCCAGATTCCCCAGCTCGACAAGTCCTTACTCATCCGCTTGTTCAGAGCGGGGATTTCACGAGGGCCCCTCCGAGCCCCACGAGGACATTTCTTGGCTGGTGGCCTGGTGGAAGCAGGACAGCAAGAGCTGTAGGTGACACCGGGG